GCTTTCTCTGTGCAGACTCGGAACTATTAGCAGGTTGAGAACTTTTGTCCTTACCAACATTATTAGGGGCACCGGCAAGGGCCTGCCCTTTATCCTGGCCACTACTACTACCACTAACACCTCTGGAAGCAGTAGTGTTCAAATCAGCCTGGGGAGGAGGGCCCACATTAAGACTGCAAGGTTTCGATCCGAATAAAGAAGCGGGCGACCCAGCTGGAGCAGGCCAGAAAGGGTTCATCTTCATAAACTGCTGGAGACAGTGTATGTTCCTGGCAATGTGGCAATGTGTGGCACAACGTTTTGGTCGTGGTTGAGAAAAAAGCGGCTAAACAAAAGAAAAAAACGAGCAGACACAACTATACTTTCAGACGAGGAAAAAACGGAAGGGAAGGAAAAAAATGATGTAAAAATTGTTTTTTTTTTTAATTTTCTTTTCTTTTCTACCTGTATATGAGTTGGTGGTGCCACACTACTTCCATCCATTGAGACCACACCTTGCAATGGGGCCATGTATCTGTTGAAGATAAAATTCAAGACTTTCATTTTCCCGAAAAAACATGACCTTAATAAATTTGAAATTCAAAGAAGATATAAATGATGCGGAGGCAATAATAATTAAACCGACCATACCCCATAGGAGGAAGCCCACCGGGCCAACTAGCCATGGACATGGGTAAAGGCAGTGAGCTTGTTGAATGACCTATCCGAAAATGATAAAAATCAAGATCAAAAAACCTTGTCGAATTTCGAAGAGATATTAACCCATCAGGAGAAAAAAATGAAAATTGTGACCAAAAAAAAAAAACTTACCAGGCTTCTCAGAAGGAGGCTCTTCTTTGCTTGCTGCCTTAGCAGGCACTTGTTGCTTTTCAATCTGCATTGGTGATTTGTTTTCGTTGGCATTAACGTTAGAGCTCACAGTTTCTCTTCCCTGTTTTTCCGCCAAATCAAGACTTAAATCAGTATCCCGCCCCATGTTCTCGATTGTCTTGTTAGATTCACTCTCCTCATATTTCTTTTCTTCAGCCACCGAACGAACATTCCCGTTTCCGCTTTCACCCTTGTCGTTCTCGTTATCCTTCGACACCACTACCGGCTTCATATCCTGCCAAAAAATATATATATATATATATATAAATCAAACAATTCAGTACAAACACATTCAAAGATGTGAGGCTAAAAACAAATTATTAAAAAAAATGTACCAAAGATCGACGACATACTTTGTCGAGATTCAATAAAAGGGGCTTCTGATCAACAACGGTGGCGGAAGAAGCACTCAAATCAATCTTGGTTTCCCTTTCGGGCGATGATCTCACTTGTGGAGGGGGTGCCTGAATTCGGATTCAAAACAAGCAGATTTTGAATATCTATTTTCAGCAAACAATTGCCAAAAAAAAAAAAATGATAAGACTCACCATCAGATCTATCTCAAACTTTTCTTCTTTCTGATTTCCAACATCAGACACAGGCAAGTTCCTAAAATTTTCCAAAGAGGTAAGAATCACAGATCATTCTTAAAAACCAAAAAAAAAAAAAAAAAAAATGGGGGGCAATGAAAAAAAAAGGGCCTTTGAGAATCATTCTCTCTTCACTTACGCATTAGTCGGTGTACCAGCAGCAGATGAAGCAGTGGCCACCGACGGCGAGTCCCTATTACTGGCATCCTGGGCTCTCACAGCAGGAGATTCCTGCTCCTTAGATGAGCTAACATCTTCCTTGGCAATGAAACTTCTGCTTTCTTTAAATTCGTTGGCCGCAGGCTTCAGCTCCGATTCCAACTTCATCGAAACTTGCGCTGTCGACACAGGCGGCGGCTCGGCTGCCTGTCCTTGTGAAATGACAGGATTGCCCCTTGTGGCTTCAGACGCACTCTCACATGCAGATCCCGCCGTTTTCTCCACATTAGGAGACGATATTTCGATCTTTGGTGCCTGATCTGTTTCGGGTTTTGTCCGTACGCCGAAATTCGAGACTTCCGGTACCTGCCTCGGCCTCTTTCTCTTTGGGGCTGCAAATAAGCCAAAAAAAAAGGATATCAAGAAATGATTTTTTTTTAATCATTCCCGTGTTGTAAACCAAATACAACCAAAGATGAACCGAACTTACCGACGGCGGAGAGGGCGCCGGAATTAGCTCCTCCGGCGATGAGATTATTATTGTTATTCTGAATTGAATTAGGGATCGGAGATGAATTATGGGACTTGGCATCCACGCTCAACCGATTAGCTTCTCTCGATTCCTCTTTCTTTGATGTAGATGGGCCTTGTGTCTGGGTCATCAAGCCGTATAAAACCTCGGCAATCTCAATCTCAAGCTCCTCTGGGTTTGATGAGCTGGGTTTTGACGATGACGCTGAGACTTTCGGCGGCTTCAATTTAGGGCCGGCGGCGCTGTTGGCGCTGTGTTTCTGGGCAGATTAGGAAAAAAAAAGAAAAAAAAAAGTCAAAGGAAAGCAGAAAGAGAGGATCTTTGATGTTTTGTGGTAAAATTTGAAAGGCTGTTATGCAAACACTAACAAGCTTTTTTCGAATGGAAACATTGGAAGAAGATGGAGACGGTGGAGCCACCGCGGGCGTGACAGGAGATGCAGAAACGTGAGTTGGTCTCGCCGGAGAACTTGACGGCTGCGCCGGATTCTGATCTGCCCCACCGGAAACTCCGCCGCTGCTGTTGTTGCTGGTGCTTGAGATCCAATCGTGCGACCTCTTCGTAGAAGCTTCAGAAAATCAAGAACCAAAGAATTAAATAATTAGAAAAAAGATACACTGAAAATCCATGAAAAGAAGAAAACAGCAGATAAAATCTTGTTTTTTTTTACCAGAACGAGCTTTTCTGGGAACGGAGACGCCTATCATCTCGTCGCCGGATTTCCAAACAGGCGGCGCCCTCAGAACCTTGGCTGAAGACGAAGAGCTTGGAGGGAAGGTTTTCCTGTGCTGAAGATGGTGGCTGCTGTTACTTACAATATTGCTAGTGCTGTTACTGTTGTGCTGTTGTGGTTGACTAAAGCTACTGGTCTGGCTGTGGTGGTGGCTTCCGCCGTGAACGAGGTGGTTGTGGTGGCTGGAAACGGGACCCACCGCCGGAGAGAGCATCCTGACGCCGGCGGTGCCGGAGGAGACGTTATCTTCGTATTCCTCGTCCTCGTCGTCGTTGAGGCTCTCTTCGGAGGTCTCATCTCCGCCGGTGTCATCTCTGTTGCTCGCTAGTCTCTCCGCTCTCCTCCTCTTACTCCGACTGGACCGCTCTCTCAAATCTCTTTCCCTTTCTCTCTCTCTATCTCTTTCTCTCTCCCTGTCTCTCTCCCTCTCCCGATCTCGATCTTTCTTCACTCTCTCCCTCAGCCTCACCGATTCCTGTAATTCCACTCCTCCATCTTCATCTGCAAAAAAACACAACCAAACAAAAAAAAAAGGGAAAAAATTGAGCAAAATCAGAACAGTAAGCTCAAATCTTAATCACGTAACAAAAAGACAGAAACCAAAATCAGATCTGGTGAAATGAAATCTCCATCTTCACCACCAACCTGGAGAGTCTCTAACGCTGTTAGTTCTGTGCCTTCTCCGATTGAAGCCATTGGAGCCGACGATGCTCGCTCTCCTGGATTCTCTGTTTCTGTCCATCACTGACCTTCACGCGCTTCAGAATCTGAACTCGAAGTCGACCACACAGATTCTGAGCTTTAATCCGACGTCTCATCAGAGGCCGGTCGCCTGAGCATATCTCGCCGGAAAACAACAAGAATCGCCGGAGACAGATTCAAGATTCACCGTGCTTGAAATCTTTTCAGAAATCCCCCTCTCTCGTCCTTCTCCCTTCTCCCCAAATTTCTCTCTCAGCGTCTCTCTCTCTCTCTCTCTCCCACTTGAGATTTTCCTCTGTGCTCTTTCTTTCTCTCTCTAAACTCTCTATCTCCTCTCTCTCTCTCTCTCTCTATCTCTCTCTCTCTCTCTCTATCTGTGCCACTATAAATGAATACCCTTTTTTCCATTTTCATATATTTATCTCATCGATTATTTTCACACACACACACACACAGAGAAAAGAAGAAAAGCCCTCGTGGAAAACTGAAACACGATCGCTTTTGTCACGCGAATCGATCTCAGCCGTCCATTCCGCTTCCCATCGGACCGCTGAGGATCTATGTATGCCAGCGTGGCGGCGTTGCGAGCCGTCGATGGGAGCTAAGACCCCGTTGACCCGTCTACGTGTCAGTTTTCCCTTCCTCGTTAAGCGTCCATGTTAATGTTTTGGCATTTTTTTAAAAAAAAATTAATAAAAAATAAAAAGAAAAAGATAATTACTAATTTAAAGAAGCCATTCGTTATACGACTCTAGTGTGTGTAGTCCCATTTAGTATAATATAAAAATAATAATAATAATAATAATATAATAATTTATTGTTGGATTGTAATTTTGAACGGGTTTATTGCAATTTACAACCGAATTCAATTATCATTATTGCAAAGTAAACAAAATTGATATGATGCACCATAATTTTAACGTGGGTGTTATAAAGAAAAATGATCCAATTAAATGTGGACAACAATTTGCTACAACAAGCCATAAAATTTAATTTTTGTTAGACACGATAGAGTTTATAAAAAATAAATAAGTACACTAAAAAAGCCAAACAACTATTTTGCTGAATTCAGCGGGATGATCTCGGATTCGTAGCCTAGATAGACTATACTAACTCATCCACAAGACTACACACAATGTCATGTCAATGATTATTTATTTTAACTTCCATCTTATAATTTATGTACGAACTTCTTCAACGTTGCTTTAGATTAGATATAATTGCCAGAGTAGAGTGGAGAAATCTTTCCCGCCATGCGTCCAATTTATACGCTAGAATAAATAAATGAACAGTGTTGTGCCAATTCTAGCGCTTGCGTCAGATAATTTTTTTTTTATGTTTATGTAGTTTAATGTAATATTAATTAAAAAAGTATAATATAGAATTCAAATGCATGGTTGTTTAAGAAAAATAAATAGTAACTAGTTAAATAGCAATGTAAATAATGCACCACATTCTTTGTTCTAATTCCAACAAATATGTCCACAATATTTTTATTTTCCATTTATTGGGCACAAGATAATAATGGCAATTAAGTTAAGTTAGTTAAAAGAAAAAAGAAAAGAAGGTAAAAAAAATAAACGTTTGTCTTAAATACCATTTAAAATAAAAGTGTGGTTGAATCATACTTTACTTTTTTCAAATATATCTATATAGTTCAAAATTTAAATGTCATTTAAACAAAAGCACGACAACTCGTACCATAATTATACATTTCCATTGAATATGTTTAACGAATTATGATATCCTTAGTGCCGTTAAATTAAACGAGTCTGCCTCAGACGAGCCAAGCTCGAGCTCAATTTAATGCTCGTTTACTTATCGAGCCGAGGCGTGAGCACCCTAAGCAAAAAATTGTGAAATGTGAGAAAAATTGAGAGCCTTTGTCAAATATTCACACACAAAAACCAAGCAAAAAAAGGTGAAGATGGAGTGTGGGGCTAACCGGGTATAGCCGGTTGCAGTGGGTGAATCACAAGGAGTCTAGCTCTAGGTGACCGCAGAAAATATCGCAAAAGCCCCGGTCAAATTTCCTTTTTCGGTTTCCATATGGACTGACTTATTTTTTCCTAAAAGCAAAAAAATATTTAATTCCACTCAACGCTGATAAATAAATAAATAATTCAATTCAAACACACACTTTATTATTATTATTTTTTTGTCCCCAACCGGAACAATAATTACGGCCCGGCCCCTTACTATTAATTAAATTCAATTTCTTAATATAATAATATTAGGAAAAAAAATAGTCATTAATTAAATCAAATTAAGTAGTAGTATATATAGTCTTACGAAAAGGACCATTTTACAAATTATTTAATTGCCGTAGTGGCGGACGTGGGCCCCAAATTGGACGGTTGAGATGCAGTCTGCAGGTATGGCGATAGATCGTGCCCGTCGGATGGAATAGCCACGTGGAGGGGTCCGGAATTTAAAAAAAAAAAAAAAGGTCCTAGCTGGCAGCCTGGAGGCGATAGGTTAGGTGGGGTTCGTGGAGATCTGTGATGGATCTGAACCGTTGGATGTGACTGAATCCGACGGCTGAGAATGACGAGATTCAGGAAAAATGAACTGCGGGTCAGATCAGGGTCACGGAACTTCCGAGAAATGGGAGGGTCCCAATTGTCTTTTAGTGGAAATTTTATGTTATTTTATTTTATTTATTTATTTAATTATTATTCTTTATTATTGCGCTCTCTCTCTCTCTATTTTTTTAATATTTATTTCTCTTTATATTATTTATAAATTGTGCAGTGGTGTGGATGTGGTGTTTGGGGTCTGACCTCGAAAATTGGATTATAATTATTCGTTGTGTAAAAATATTTATAAATAACTGATAATAATATAATTAATAATAAATATATATTATGTATATAAAATATAGAGGTATGTGTAGGTGTTAAATTATCACAACCCAGGAAAAAATGAAATAAATAATGGGGCCCACGGGGAGTTATTTATTTATTATTTTTTTTCACCGCTATCTTCCCCAGTCCATGGCCTTGTCTGGCCATCCCTCTAGTTTTTTTTTTTTTTTTTCTTTTAATCGTTAAATGGAAATATATATATATCAAAACTGAATTCAGATAATCAATCAACGGTATACAAAAGCGTAATAATTAACAACAAGTCGGTTTCTCATTCGCACGATAAAGATATAGGAAGACAATTACAAGTCGGTTGCTCGCTAAAAACACTAAAAAACACTCTTACATTTCAACGGAAATTTTCCGTTGGATTTCTTTATATTTTCCGTTGGAATAGCTATTCCAACGGATATTCCTACGTATAAAAATTCGTGGGAAAAACGGCCGTTGGAATAGCCAAAATCCAACAGAAAATCATATGGAAATAAATTCCTACAACTATTCCAACGGAAAAAATCCGTTGGAATTCTTCAACCATCCAACACTTATTCCAACATAAAATTAAGTTTGTTGGAATATTCATTGGAATTTCCAAAGGAAATTTTTGTCGTTGGAATTTTTCGTTGGAATTGAAATGTATTCTTGTAGTGAAAGTCACGGTAAACCATAATGCAGAGAGGGTGAGTCCAAAAAATTCCTGTCACTTTCTCCAAAAACACATCATCCCGGGTGATCGGCATACTCAAAGTCCAAAATCCCAAAATCCAAATCAAGGCATACTCAAAGTCTGAGGCTCCGCCTCTCAAACTCGGCAAGCACATTAGGATAAAGAGCAAATATAGTGTGATATACATGTGTTTTTACCTTCCGGATCACAAGGCTCGGGGGTTGGTATTCATTTTCAAAGATCAACCGGTTTCTTGCATTCCAAATGAAGTAAACGGAGGCCGCTAGCGTCGCTTTCTTCAACTTGGTTCTCCAACTCGCACCTTTCGCCTCCTTTTTGGTCCATTTGAGGCCGCCTTTAAGGGTCGATGGCCTATGTCGGAGGCCAACCCAAGCACGAATTTCACTATAAAATTCAGAGCTAAAGGAATACTCAAAGAAGAGGAGGCTCGAAGATTCATTCGCGGCACCGCATAGAGGGCAAATCGGGTCTTCGTCAAGGAATTCAAGACGATCTTTTGTACGGAGTCTATTAAGCACCCCCAATCATAGGATGAATGAGTGCTAGGGGGTATTGCAAGCCCCCCAAACAACCCTGGACCATGGCCTCGTGGGTCCTCTAGGTCTTAGGAAGTCGTAGCACTTGCTAGACCCGTCTTGTTTATCTCTAGAGCTCCAACCGCGAAGAAGGGCTTCCGCTCCTCGCTCACTTCCCGCTTTTACAACCAAGCCTTGTCGGATTTCAAAGAGAGACTTGAAGAGAGGGGGGTCGTTCTTGCCAATTTGTCAATCCCAAATAGTTTTACCCTTCAAATAAATATTATGAATCCCATTTGTACCAAATGATGTCCTTCTTGGCTTGCATGTTCCAAAGCGTCCGAGTGAGTAATGCTTGGTTCCAAGCTTCCAAGTCCCGGAGCCCCAATCCACCTTCTGATCCTGGTAAGCACAAACAATCCCATGCAACGGGAGCACTTTTCGAGCCCCATAAGAACCTCCTACAAAGTTGGATAATTTTAGTTCGCACAACACCGGGTAAATGGAAAATACTCATCCAAAAGCACTCAATGCCTTAGATTACCGAGCGGATAAGTTTCAACCTTCCGGCATAAGAGAGCGTGTGACCACTCCACCTACTAAGTTGGCTCTCAATTTGGTTGGTCAAATCATCAAAGAGCCGGCCATTTTTCTAGTTAGTTTCATGGGACTTTGCTAGTTTTTTTTTTAATTAGAAGCTTTTTTATTTAGTGGATTATATCAATAATTTGTAAAATTATATGGGATACAATTAGTTGTTTGTAATTTGCTTTAAACATATAAAATTTACTAATAAAGACATTCATATAACTTATTAAACTTATATTAACTTAGAAAATGCAAATTTTTTTATATAATTGCTTTTAACGTGTAAGTTTATATAATTGGTTTCAATATGGCTCGAGAAAATTTGAAGAGAATGAAAGGTTACTCGCTATGGACTCAGTGTGCGCGGTTAAGTGCTCGGATG